ATAGGAGACGTGACAGTGTTTCTTAACAGGCCCGCCTTCTTTTTATGTAGCACCTATGCATGGGGTCGCAAATATACCCCAACCTGGCGAGCTTGCTTATAAAGAATTCGAGAAGAGGGCTTTGATGGTCACTGATAATTCGTCCAAAATTTGATGCAGCTGCGTACAGAATGTTTTATTAATTGCATCCGAAACTAGTAGCGGCTGCGCTCACGTGCTAACATACCCATGCACGCCTAATTGCCAACTGTCCAATGGCACAAATTGCGTTGCCAAACGTGTCGGCAGGAGTGAGATGGGACACAGTGGCGGGACTGTGTCTACGATCGTAGGGCACACCAAGAGAACCGAACCGCTCGGCTATGAGAAGTGTGTGTTAGCCAAACAGCGAAGCCGCACCGGACATGTCCTGCTTCATGTGACTGATAGCCGGCTTTCACGCTGGTGAATAAGCCATCAAAATGGATCCCTGCGAAATGACTAATGGCTCACTGTTCTTTCAATTGAGGAGAACAGTCTGTCCCTATGCAATGACGGATTGGCACCGGTTGCTACCGCAACACATGTCAAAAGACAATTGCGACAAAAGCTGTTATAGCCTCAGGACTGGTTTCTAACAAACCCAGCAGCTTTCATTAACTGTTTTCTTAGATTACAGTGTTGTTCGTTTTACCGTTTCGATCACGTGTGTGCTACAGCTGAAAATTCACCCTTAATGGGTACATAAAAGTGAATCCTTGACTTGACTTGACAATGCTGTTTGATTTCAGTTTGCTCCGACACACTAGTGGCACCATTAGCCAGCGCACCAATCTAGTCAGGAATGCAACTATTACCCTCACAGTCAGACCATTGCTAGTTGTACAAATTGATCAGGCCTTCGATGTCGTTTCTCGTGTGCAATCGAGAATATACATTTATTCATTTCTTTACTTTTTTCTGAAATCTCTGAAATGTCTTTTCCAGGAGTGTTCCGGTACGTTGTTGTTTAACAGTACTAATGTCTGACCTTTCTTAGCATCCGCCTACATGGAAATGTTGCAAAACGGCGGCATTCCGCAGCTACATTCGGAAGGGTTAATGAATAACGTTTGGTAGCAGCAGGATTGGGCACCTGCACATTCGGCGCAATCGGTTCGTATCTACCTGAACGAGACATTCGGTGGACGTTGAATCAGTCGCGGAGGACCGACAGAATGGCATGCGCGGTCACTGGATCTGAATCCCATGGATTTTTCCCTACGGGGTTACTTGAAGCGCGGAGTTTATAGAACAAAACACAACAGCCTAAATGAACTGAAAGAGAACATTATGAATGAATGTAACAGAAAGTGCTCGCCAACGCCATCCAGCGAATGCTGCTTTGTAGCCAAAACGACGGAGGACACTTCGAACACCTAATTCGTTGATACTTACAGACATTTCACCCATTTCATGTAAATGGTAAGGAAATGAATAAATTTATATTCTCGATTACACACGAGAAACATAATCGAAGGTCTGATCAATTTGTACAACTAGCAGTTGTCTGACTGTGAGGGTTTTAGTTGCACTCATGACTAGATTGGTGCGCTGGCTAATGGTGCCACTAGTGCGTCGGAGCAGATTGAAATCTATGAGCATTGTCAAGTCATGACAAGCGTTCACCTTTATGTACCCATTGAGAGTGCATTTTCAACTGTGGCGCACATGCGATCGAAACGGTCAAACGAACAACACTGTAATCTAAGAAAACGCTCCTGGCAGTATGATGCCCCTTAGCAGCGAATGCAGCTTAATCAAAGCTGCGGGGGTTGCTAGAAACCAAACTGTTCTCCTCAATTGAAAGAACAGTGAGCCATTAGTCATTTCGCAGGGATCCATTTTGATGGCTTCTTCACCAGCGTGAAAGCCGGCTATCAGTCACACGAAGCAGTACATGTCCGGTGCGGCTTCGCTGTTTGGCTAACACTCACTTTTCACAGCCGAGCGATTCGGTTCTCTTGGTGTGCCCTACGATCGTAGACACAGTCCCGCCACTGTGTCCCATCTCACTCCTGCCGACACGTTTGGCAACGCAATTTGTGCCATTGGACAGTTGGCAATTAGGCGTGCATGGGTATGTCAGCATGTGAGTGCAGCAGCTCCTAGTTTCGGACGTTATTAATAAAACACCTTGTAGATGTCAAGGAGGAGTTACCAAACCGCCTAAACTTTATTCACAAGTGTGTAAATTGTCCTCCTGAATTGCAGATGTGCGGTGCCGCCGCTTGACTGTATAGCTCATATGATTGGGAAGTTAAGGACAGCATACCGTAAACCGACTAATACTGATGGGTTACGCAACATACTTTGGTTCACGCGAATAAACTTTACGTTGGAATGGCTTTATCGCTATCCTACAGAGCACAAACCTTGTGCACGGTGGAGGAGGACCGAAGTCGCGTGGAAATAGACTAAATCATAACCGTGATCTACGCCTGAGAAGGTATGAATGGCAGGGATTATATACAGAGGGGATATCGGATGTAATTTGGGTGGTGTTTGATAAATAGCCAAGTACTAGGTTCAACACTGGTACATTTCCATATTCCCATGCCCACAAGTAGAACAACTAACCGTTTACAAAGTAAAGTGTAGTGGCTACACACGTATACACGGGTTAAACCCGCCGATTTCAAGGCATGAAAGACGCAGTTCACCATCACCGATGGACGGGTCTGTTCACTGGTCACAGCTCATGTACGCGGACACAGCTTGATAGCACTGAGCGCGTTTGCTGCTGGCCGCATGAGAAGTTGCCTAAATCAGTCCGTCATCATCGGTGTGGGCGAGTCTCCCTCTGGTCATGCGAACATGTGGCCAATTAAGGTTCACCAAGACAACATGGCAGACGTGAGCAACTGCCAATTATGATGCGAATGATAGACAGTCGAACAAATCAAGACACAAGGGGTGAAATGCAGAGACGTCACTAAAATGGGGGTTGATCTATCATTGGTCCGAGAAAACATATCTAGCAGCACTTTCCATGCCGCACCAATGCACACCTGAAGGAAACCCGACGCGTTCTCTTTAAACTCAAGCCGTCACATCGACACTTTGTGTTCGACGCGCTCGCCTCGCACTTGTCACTATTCCCTTTGTTATGGCCGCATGTGAAATGCAGAGTGGATCCCAAACTGAACTGCCTGACGGTCAGGGTAGGGCTAAGATGCAGTCGACCACATGATGCAAAGCACATGAGAAGCTTACTCGGCGACGAATACGGACGGACAGGCAAACTACCAACTGAAGCGATCGATACTATTGGTTCGGCAGCCGTTTCCTTGTCGTGCTATCGTTCAACAACCTGGCGATGTGTACGATAGTCCCGTACCGAGCCATTGTGACAGCTCGTATTGAACAGCGCATGAGTTGTGGCAGAATCAGCGCCGCGTTTATGCGCGGTTGGCGTAACTTGCATGCCATAGGAGAGACGGCGCGCACCCAGCCTATTGCTTTCTACGCATAGGCAGGAAAACGCACGCGCTAGGCTGCGGTTGGCTAACCTTACGCGTCATAGGATAGACAGCGAGCAGTCAGGCTATGACTAGGCAAAGTAGTGCAATTTTTGTCATTTGGTTATCGGGTCACTGCCTGGGCGATGGGGCACGAGCATTTATTGTCGTCACCGCCTTATGTCCAATCCGAATCATCTAACGTACCTGTTGATTGCCGTGACTCATCCAGCTCAACAACGATGTCAGTAGAACGGAAGGCGTGAACTCTCAGCTTCCTAGCGGGTAATCTTAATCCAGTCAGTCTGACGAGGGTCGATGCACTGATCCGGTTGAAATGCAAAGGTCGATCCCCCTATCTTCAGCGTCATTACTTTATGTTCCATTGCAATGCGCACAGAACCACCTCGTATATTCCCGTTGTGACTGCACCACATAAAATGTCATCCCGGTCTGTGACTGTAGCAAATATGGCTCATCTTTGTTATCACGTTACTGTCCCTGTTCATCATAAAATGGCAGTTATTGTTCGATGGTTCAACTGGCTTAATGTAACTTTCATGTCACATTCAAGACGTCACCCAACAGATACACCAGACTGCTGTTTCCGTACCTCTGTGAAACAATAACTTTCTATCGGCCACAAGGATATTTCACATGTCCTGCCATTTCTTGAGGCAGCCACAATAGATCGCGCGGACCCCAGCTTCTGAAATGCGATGTGGATCGGCAACACCCAGGGTTTCGTGTTCAGTAACTTTGTTTCCCCGCTTCCCCGTCAACAAATCTCCCCTCTTTGAGAAGAAACCATGCATGTTTGTTTACGTTCGTTTCACAATTACTCTTTTTCGATACCAAAAATCTGTGTTATCTGTTCGGACCTTATAGTGTGTCCGATATACGACGCCGAGCCATTTTGTTAGCGTCGATTGGTATCACTTCGTGGATTACGGAACTCACCGGCTCTCTGAACCACGCTCAATAATAACCTGAATTGCTGCTCTCACACCTTATACGCTTGGGTTGCAATATTTTAAATAATGTACCCTGCAAGCTTTCTAGCATTCCTGCCTCCGTACCAGCATCTTGTGTATTAAGCGATTCTGAAACTTACCGAACGATTCTCTGCGTTCAGATGACTAATTTTGTGACCACTTCTGCTTTTGATTTTATACTTTGAGTGAATCAGGTTATTCTGCGTTGTTTACATTTCTAATGAATCAGCTCACTAACTTTGGCGTATGTATCCCAACTTACATATCCGAAGCAAAGCACAGCTTCGGTTTCGCTCGTCTTCGTCCCCGACTACAGCGTGCAATTTGACAACATTAAACACATTGTTTTCATTCGCAATTTGCATGTCACTTTTTGGCACTGTTTACTTTTCCTCGAGCTTATCGTGCAGTATTTTGAGATTTTTAATATTTAGGGAACTTAGCTGTTCTCATCTTATCCGAAAATTAGTCTCCATCGGTACCTCACATGTCTGACGTTGCACACCTTTTATTTTTTCGTTTGCAGACGGCAATTCTGTACACCTCATCCAAAGGCGACAGACGGATTCGAGTTCATACACTGTGTCTACCAGTCGTGCATACTCCTTCAGAAGTCTTCTTGGGTGCGGACCAGGGCGCTATTGCTTGTCTTATCGGAAAAATGGCTGTTGATCGTGCCATAAATACCTCTCTGGTTAACGCACGCGAAGCTTTGGCTAACGCACTTGCTGACTTTTTATCGGCTTACGCGTCTTCCATTGGAATCACGTCGGATGTCAGCATTTCATCCTACTACATGGCCTGTCCACCCAGTCTGCGCTTACTTCCTCTCTATCTATGCGGCTTACTACGTCACACCGCGTTCAGAGTAGGCGTCCCTGTTAGAATCGACGATCGATCGGCAGCCTTGGAGCGTTTGAAGTCTGCTCCACCGGAAGAGATGCTCACTTTACTTTACCCGCGACTTTACGCCGTGCATAATTTCGTTTCCAAGCCTGTTGTATCTGATAATGCGACCTTGGCCCGAAGGGCAGCTGCACTTTGTCTCTCAGATTACGGTGATGCCCTTCTGGACGCTACTCATCATTCAACGGATGATAGTGACTCCTCGTCTTCTAATGTCAGCGATTTTCTGTACGATGCGGGGCAGCTTCCAGGTCAGTTGCACCTGTCTGCACGTTCCATCTCTCGTTCTGGTGTTTATTTGCTAGATACTGGGGAGATTATCTTTCTACTCATTGGATCTCAAGAAGATTCAGCTTCTGGAGCCGCAGCTTCATCGGAAATGGTGCATCAGCTTCTTGGTGTCCCAATACCAAACAGTGTTATTTTCTCCTTACCTCCCATCGTTGTGACAAACGGCAAATCTGATGTGCCGATCGGGCTGCGCCGATTGTCAGCCTTGGTTAATCTTCTTCGTCAACGTCGGCCCCTTTCCAACGCTCTCGTATGCATCTGCCACGATGCCCCTGCTTCTTTGCGAACTCGTTTCATTTCCACCTTAATAGAAGACCGAACAGAATATGCCCCTTCTTATCAAGAGTTCTTACAAATGGTGCAATCCATTATGAAAGGCTAGATCACCTTGTCTAACGCTCTGTCGCCGAATTTTTTCACCCTTGTGCCTTCAAAGATGCCGCTGGTGACGTCGGTGATCTCGTGGATAGCGTGTTCCACACATATTTCGGCCCCACTGACTTCTTTCCGGATGTGATCGCTTGACTTCGTCGTTTGCCACCGTCCTAGATGCCATATCTGAAAAATAAGCCCCATCTTTTTTGTCTACTAGGAATTTCAGCTAGGTGGCTCTATCAGTTGTCTTTTCTATCTCCCCAGCATAGAACTTGAGCACTTAGCGGAGGAGCGGTTCTGTTTTTCGCCTCTGGCGTCTGGCAAATCCTCCTTATTTTCACCATCAAACCTTGTCTTTGGCTTTTTTTCGCACCTTCCACTTCGAATGGGCGTAAGGTGTCATCTGCTCTTCTCGCTCCATATATGTATTTGTTGAGTGTGGGATGTGATTTTTCTTTGCTTTTTCCACCATTTTCAATTCCCCTACTTTATTCCTCATTGTGTTTCTACTCTTAACAATAATGCGAATGCTGGATGCAAACATCTGTTTTCACTCAATCTCTTGCTTTGTTTTCACAGAGGTGCCCGCTGTGTTCCATCTCCAACAATCGTTTATAGCACTCTTTACAGCGCCGCTGCAGTCCTCTATTAGTCTAAATCAGACAGCTTCAAGTGACGCCGCTTCGTCTTTTGCAATGATTTGATGACACAAAGTCCTTTTTAGATTACATTTATGGTGACCGTTTTCTAACTGGTACTTTATAAAGACATATTGAGAGACTGGGTGACTACAGATGTCCACATCTAGAACTCGATTAAAGTTATTGTAGTTACTTCCTTAAAAAGCGCCTGTCATAATTCGGAGGACACATTTATCATTTTTTATTTCCCTCTTCAAGAGCTCCGCTTCTGCCATGCAACAGGCCGGCAATTTCTTCCATTAGTGTTCCGGGTTCATAATTGGTCCAAAATATCAATCTAAACTTCTCAACCGAATCCATTTTTGGTCATCTGGTTGTTGTGGCAATTATTACCCACTCTATAAGTGGTTTCCAGATTATACCTTTGTGCGACAGTTTGTATACCTACCCAGAGAGCCATACTGATTGATGCCCTGGGATATCTTGGAAGATGTTCCAACTGGTCTGGTTAGATGTCAGACAAAATCAGTACCATGATCTACAATGGTTGGGGTTGCAGCTGGTCTAGCAGCCATCTTTGTAATAATGACGCATCACGTAGACCGTTGCCTTATCTCCACTGCCCCTCGGAACAAAAGCCGCCGCTTATCAATGGGCACTAACCGCAGTATATTGCACGTCAGATATACGAAAACAGGTTACTGCCGATGTTCCACTTTTCTATCTTTTTTCCTTGCATCCCTTCAGACCCTTATTGCCAACTTTTTTGTAGTAACTAATGTGTGGGACAACAGCTGCGATGTCCGACAGTCTTCTTTCCTCATATTCTCCTATCAACCCGGGCTTCTCTGTACCTCCGGCTGCGTTCAACGTTCCTACCCTGAAAATAGTCCAGCAGGACACACTTGCACACACATCGGATGCGGTCTGTTTAAAGATGTTTTGAATCTCCGAAATTAGACTTCACTACGATTGTGCGCTCATCGAAATTACCTCAACTAACTTACCTCGTTATTCGCTTCCCATGTCTTTAGATGACGATCCAACAACCACCGACCAATTCGGAGCAGGCCGACTCCTTCTTTGTTAATTGAACTCTCCTGAACGATTGTTTCTGCATCCCCTTTGGTGTCGAACTAATGTAAACACATGGGCCAGTAACAGTGCCACAACATATAGATAATGGAAACGCAGTGGGCAGAAAATGGCTGTAAGACTTCAATCGGATGAGCAAAATTTCAATCGTTCGCCATTATGTATGCGCTTTACTACTTCCGATGGGACTTCCAACCAAGTCTGATCGTGGTCTTCGCGCCCCCAACCCGGGTAGCAAGACTAGCTGAGGTTTGTACCTTCACATTTCGGACCTAAATCACGCTTAGGCCACCTTGCTTTCTTTCCCTGACGACTGCAGCGCGCGCTGGAGGAGCACTACGATGTACCTGCGAGGCAGTTTTGCCACGCACATACCTTACCCACTGGAGCCTACACGCTGGACTTATGTGGTTTGGCGGTCGGCCGGGTCTGATTTGAAAATTCTTCGGTTAGCATTATTATTATTACTAGTGTCATATTGTTAGAGTACACTGACAGTGGTGATCGAAGGCGTTCAGCGCCTGAACAACTTTTGTTCAGTGATCCTGATCTCACAACCATCCAAGAGCGCTGATTTCGCAATAGCATCGTATACTCGGTCCCTGTGTGAGATAGCTCGGCACCAGAGGTGACAGAGATTGGCAAAAGCACTTCGAGTCTCAGAAACGTGCCATGAGATCTCGTCTACTAAGCCGTCATCGCTGAAGCAGCTGTCGAAGTAAAGGAACTTGTGAATCACTTCCAACGAATAACGCCAAAGGGTGAGAATATGATCAGCTTCCGTTCAGTCCGGTAGGAATGCCTTACACTTCGATCATTCCGAACTAGGAGAGAGGCACTTCCAACTTACGCAACATATTTCAGCCAGCTTACGAAAATCACGGATTACGGTGATGTCATCAGCATGCTCTTTGTTACGAAATCGGTACCGCGAAAGCAGCCCGGTGCCACCAATTTACACATGTTCAAAGCATTCTCCAAGTCATCATCTGTAACGAAGTTGAGTAGTCAGGGTAATGCTTACCAACCCTATTTCACCTCCCTGGTGATACTAAAAATAGTGAAGTTCGTCATACATCCACGCGGTCCACATCCCGAGAACAATGGGTTTAGAGAATCTTAACAAATTTCAGGCACTGTTCATATGGTAATTCCAATGAACAGCTCTGTCAACTGAGTCAAGCGCATACCTTAAGTCAAATAAGATGACGTTTGAAACACTACATCCCCTTTACTTATTTAGTCAACTCAACCAGAAGACGTAAATTGCGATATGTTAAAATTTCGACTGCTCTCCTCAGTCGCAAAGGCAGTACATTTGAGAAATAACATATTTACAAGACGATCGGAATCACATGGGTAAATTGCAAGTTAAAAATCAAACCTACGACAGTCTGGTAGATTGCCTCAGTTCCTCTTACGCGTACAAAGCTGGCCGGTTCACCGCAATTAGTAGAGTTTCACTGATCGCCAGCTTCTTCGGGTTGCGGTTAATCAATAGCACTTTGAATGCTTTTAATGAGTCCACGTGATGACCAGTCGTCACGGGATGCTTTGTGATAGACGAGGCGAGGTTCCAGTTCGTCGTTTGATCCATCCCTTCTTGTTTCACTCTGGACTGCCTTAACCACTTAGGAAAGTGCTCAGCTATCCTTTGAGCTAATCGGCGGTCGATCCTGCCTATGTATACGTCATCGCAACTGCAGGTGAACTGGTAAATGACATGAGAGGCCCGACCGACTGGTGAGCATCTTGGACGGTAATTTAACACAAGCCTTCGTGTGGTATGGATGATGCGTAACTGCGCGGCGGTATTACTACGCATTAGAGCAGACCTGACCTTTTAACCAATGATGTTTGCTAGCCAACCGAACGTTTGACGGCATTCAACTATTTGGGGAATCGTAATGATTTGATGAGTACAGCCCCGGCTTCGCCTTTGCGTACTCGGCTGGTCGTCCTTAAAAGCAGTGCAGTAAGCACTTCGAAGGCAACGCAGATAATTGGTGTAGCCTGTTCGGTTACTATTTTCGAAGACTGGCAGAACACCCACATAGCTGTAGTCGGTTGGAATGATTTCTGTGGTGCCAATCACTTGGATAGGTAGGTTTACCTCGGCTGTGGGTTAGGTTTCCATCTTTGAAAAGCGACGTGGAGAGTGCGTCTGAGGCTTGGGCCTCATGATGCTTCATGAACCGAAACTCATGCTTAAGATTAGTCTTAGGTGATGGTGAAAGTTCCACATATCACTGGGGGCCTACTCGTTGGTAGTATTGACCGGTTGAACTGCAGTTCGATCTACTCAACTTTGCTCATGAACCTGCGTGGATGACACCTGCCTGACTCACATTCAACCTTTTGTCGAGTCGATATTTATGTATACTGGGCGCAAATAGACCACGCTGCTATTGTCAGTTTACACGACCCCATCTACAGGGTGTTTTATTAATCATATCCGAAGCGAGGAGCGGCTGCACTCAGGTTCTGGCGTACCCTGGCACGCTGAATTGTTAACTGTTCGATGGCGCTAATTGCTTTGCCGGCAGGAGTGAGATGGGACACAGGAGCGTGAGAACTGGACGTTAGCCAGACACCACAGCCGCACTGAACGTGTCGTGCTTCGATCGATCGGTAGTCGGCCATCACGCAGGGTTCCCTGCGAAGAGATTAGTGGCTCGCTGTGCTAGCAATTGAGAAACACAGTCTGGCCGTATGTGAAAACCGATCGATGGGCACCGTAATGCTATCGCCACAAAAGCTGTTTCGCCTCATGACTGGTTTCCAACAGACCCGTAAGCTTTTATTAGGCTGCTTTCGCTACTATAGGGAATCATACTGCCGGGAGTACATTGTAAAGTTACAGTTTTGTTCGCTTTACCGTTTCGATCGCGTGTGTGTTACAGCTGAAAATTCCCCGTTCATGGATGCATAAAAACGAATCCTTGACTTGACATGGCAATGCGCTTAGATTTCAATCTGCTCCGACGCACTAGTGTCAACATTAGACAGCACACCAATTTACTCATGAATGCAACTATTGCTCACACAGTCAGACCATTGCTAGTTGTACGAATCGATCAGGTCTTCGATGGTGTTTCTCGTGTACAATGGAGAATATACAATTATCCATGTCGTTACTTATATTTGCATGAAATGTCTGTAAACATCAGCGAATTAGATGTTCGAAGTGCCCTCCGTCATTTTGGCTACAGAGGAGCATTCGCCGGATGGTGTTGGCGAGCACTTTCTGCAGTGTCTCCAACGAAATCTGCCTACGTTCGTTCACAGTGCTCTTTCAGTTCATCTAGGTTGTTGGGTTTCGTTCTATAATCTCTGCGCCTCAATTATCCACATAAGAAAAGATGCATTTGATTCCGATCCAATGATCGCGCAGGCCATTGTATCGGTCATCCGCGACCGATCCAACGTTCACCGAATGTCTCGTTCAGGTAGATACGAACCGATTGCGTCGAATGTGCAGGTGCGCCATCCTGCTGCTGCCATACGTTATTCATTAACCCTTCCGGCTGTGGCTGCGGGATGACGTCGTTCGGCAACATTTCCATGTAGTCGGATGCTAAGCAATGTCAGACATTAGTGCTGTTAAACAACAACGTACCGGACACACTCCTGGGAAAGAAATAGGGCCTACTCATTTTTCGACCAGTTAAACCAGTCCAGGCGATGAGCCTCGTGCTATGTTGCACACGTGACGCGCTACATTGCTGTGAAAGAGAACATTGTGAACGAATGTAGGCAGATTTCGTTGGAGACACTGCAGAAAGTGCTCGCCAACACCATCCGGCGAATGCTCCTCTGTAGCCAAAATGACGGAGGGCACTTCGAACATCTAATTCGCTGATGTTTACAGACATTTCATGCAAATATAAGTAACGACATGGATAATTGTATATTCTCCATTGTACACGAGAAACACCATCGAAGACCTGATCGATTCGTACAACTAGCAATGGTCTGACTGTGAGAGCAATAATTGCATTCATGAGTAAATTGGTGTGCTGTCTAATGGTGCCACCAGTGTGTCGAGACAAACTGAAGTCTAAGAGCATTGTCATGTCAAGTCAAGGATTCGTTTTTATGCACCCATGAAC